ATAATAAGAAATCTCATTTCCAAACCATGACTGCAATCCCAGCACCCTGGGAGGCTAAGGCAGGACCACCACAAGTCAAAGGCCGAACCTGGCAACTTAGCAAGATTCTGTCTCAAACCAAACTGAACTTTAAAAAAGGCTGGGGATGTAGTACTGGTCAATCCTCAGTACTGGGAGAGGTAGAGGGAGGTATGGGAGGGGAGGGATGGGGAGAGAGAATTTTTAAAAATAATGGAACAGTTATGTCATGGTATAAGCACATGATGAAATAATAAGCAGCCATTAAATTTTATTTTTATGTGTTGTTAGATGACATGGAAATTAGATTGTGTTCTGATATTAAATCAGAAAAGGGAATACAAAATATAAATTTAATAAAACTTCATAAATAAAACAATGCATTTTAATAAAAATTTTACAATTACATACATGTATCAACACTAATATTACTATGGTTGACTCTGGGTTATAGGACTATGAATTTTCTCTAGCTACTATATAATTCTCTATGCTTTCTAAATATTCAGCCATGAGTACATTTTTTTCCGGTACCAGGGATTGAACTCAGGACCTTGGGCTTATGAGGTAGGTATGGCCAAATACAACTCTTTTTTTTTTTTTCCTTTTCCAGTACAGTAGATTGAACTAGGACCTTATGCTTGCCAGGTAGGTGTGGCACCACTGAGCTAAATCCCTGGCCCTCCAAGTACACTTGATAACCAGAATGTGAAAATAAAAACTGGAAATAAACATGTTTATCCTTAGGTAGCAGGGTTACAATGAACCTTTATTTTTATGCTTTTCTGAACTTGTTTCTGATTAGTCGCAAACTAAGTCTGCCTGTGTCTGTCTGTGTGTTTATCTATCTATGATGTGTTTGGTAGCAGGGATTAAACCCAGAGTCTTGCACATGGAGGGCAAATGCTCTCCTACTGAGCTATGTCCTCAGGCAATGTAACAGCAATATATCATACCTTACAGAAAAGCTACAGCATCTGTCCCAGCTCTAGTTCCAAATTTCTAAGCAGTCTCACAAGGAGAGGAGCCCTGAAGCAGATAAATCAAATCAGAAGTCTGCTGACTCACTATTTCATTCAGCAATAGGCTCTTTTCTCCTTTCTCCTCAGTTGTAAGCAGGTCACCTGGAATTATTTCCCTTCCCCTACTTCTCCTGTATCCATATTATAATTGCATTTGCTTCAGAGGAGCTATTCAACAGTGATGCCACTTAGGACAATCAAAAACCAAGATAAATCATACTCTTTTAATTACATTTTCATTTTTGAAAAATCGTGTACTTGATTATTAAAGAAAACAAAGGGAAAACTTAAGATTCAAATTGTGAGCCTAGCTGATTAACTTTCTGGGGCTATCATCAAGAATCTGTAAGGATTCTTCCGAGGCAAGATAGAGACCCAGGGGGTCTAGGGGATTTAGCTCAGTGGTTCCGCCACCTGCCTCGAAAGCAGAAAAACCTGAGTTCAATCCCCAGTACCAAAAAAAACAAAAACAAAAACAAAAAAACAAAAAAAGGATTATGTAAATAAATGGGCAAGAACTAACATTGGGAAAAAAAAAAAAGAGAGACCCACAGAGGCCCTGATTAGATGGCTTCAGTTCGCCCCATGGCAGAGCTGTGCTAGTGGATGACACCAAGACTGAGGGGTATCTTTCCATTTAGTGACATTTCTGGCTTTGTAACTATTCTGCCTTGTCTCCTAAGAATGTCCAAGGATGTCTGGGATGTCACCAAGTAAAGTGGGTAATTCTAGATTTCTCACATTATGGGTCTTATCTCCTACAACTCCTATTAGCCTGTTGCTAGACTCTAACTGAGCTATCCCTGGTCTCTAGGACATCAAAAGCCATTCATAAGAAGATGGACCAGAAAGGAGATAAAAGAGCACTCCTAAATGCTGGAAGAAAAAACAAAACGGGGGGAGGGCTAAAATTTTTTTTAGTTTTTTTGAAACAGGGACTTGCCAAATTGTCCAGACTGGCCTTGAACTCACACTCCTCCAGCCTCAGCCTCTCAAGTACTATGATTAGAAGTATCCACCACTGTGCCCAGCTGAGTCTATGTGTTTTTTCTTTATAAAAAAGATTATGTAATTCAAAACTAGTGACAAGCACGACAGCGACAAACACTTGCTATTATTCTATCCCTATCAGAACTGAACTAAAAAATGTATTTTGCAAGAAATGTGTAAATTTTTATATTCTAATTTTTTTGGGGAAAAGATGATTAATTTTATAAAAATTAATGCATCTACACCTTCAGACAGGAGTATATACATTCCATTTTTGGAATGTTTTACTCTGAATCTTACTGTCGCCCTCTCTCAAATGAATTCCTTTTAGGCAAAGTATATTAAAAAATTAATACTAATCCACTTCAACTGGTTCAGAACCATGGAAGCCAAATTATTACTGAAGTTCTATCAAAAAGGACTAAACCCAAACTTCACTGCCCCTATTTATCAAAAATAATATAACTGGGCCAGGGATTTAGCTCAGTGGTGCTGCTGCCTGCTTCTCAAGCACAAGGTCCCGAGTTCAATCCCTGGTACCCACCCACCCCCGAAATACACACACACACACACACACACACACACACACACACACAGA